CTACTTGTCAACTTGGTGTAGCAACTTCTCTTGCACACCATGTATCTCAGTTTCTAAATTCTGACAGAGGCAATTTATGGAACTCTTCTCTGATTCCATGTTCCTCTTGAGTTCTTCCAACAGGGCTCGAAACAGGATCACACCATCCCGCACAGAATTTTGAAGCTCCCTCAGGGACTAGAAAGTCAATATTAGGGCAATTCACTAAGCACTCATCTCAGTTTAAGTTAGACTGAAGGGATGATTTTTTTTAACTCACTAAGACAGCCCTTTCAAGCTTCTTGCAGCCTTGATTGTAAGCTGTGTCCAGGTCAATGCAGTGCAGTCGTGCTTCTATAGAAGTGTCTCGAAAGCAATTGATGCATAATAGAGTCTTCTTGGCAGTGGAGAACATAATATAGGGCTCTCCATGGAGCCCACACTGTTTAGGAGAATAACAATTAAATGATCTACATCCCTTCCTAATTCAGATAAATGTCACATGCAAGTTGACCCTGCCATTTAAGTCTAACTCTAACTCACATGAAAATAATAATGGAAATATACTTGTACAAGTAAATCTTAGTGCATTTTAATTTAAATTCTGCATTTCCATGCAATTACAGAGGAGAATTTAGCCTTAATCAGAAGGATTGACAGGTGGTTTCAGTTACCCTTATGCTCTCTTTTTCATATCCTTAGCACTTGCATCTTTTGTTCTTATAGGAGCCTGAATGATTACAGTGCAGGTATCCTTGACTGTTCATAATGCTCCTCTCCCTCCACTGTCTTTCATTTGTATTGAACACATGCAAGAGGAAAATGACTTGTTAATCAATCAGAGGAAAAGGGATTGAGAAATCCCTCTCATTATTGGGTTGTCAGATGACATTTACACAACATGTAATCTGGATAAAGTACCTGTCAACTAAATGATCTGCAAAGTTTTTGCATTCTTCCAGAACAGGCACAACAGTTTTTTGCATAGGGTAAATCACATGCAAAAAAAAGCATGAAAATTAAAATGCATGGGGTGCATTTGCACATTCAACTAGTGTGCTAGCTCTTACACTAATTAAACTTGCATGGAAAGGTCTACTTGTATAAGACAAGTAAATTGCCATTCTCTATTAGAGCATAGAAAATTTTCCTTTACCTTTCTTAAACCTTCCTTGCTTCTCTTGGACTTAGCTCTTACACTAATTAAACTTGCATGGAAAGGTCTACTTGTATAAGACAAGTAAATTGCCATTCTCTATTAGAGCATAGAAAATTTTCCTTTACCTTTCTTAAACCTTCCTTGCTTCTCTTGGACATATGGATGATGTCGTGTTGAGAGAACATACGTGCCCTATGGGTATCTTCTCGACATGGTCCACATAAAGCTTGGCCTAGAGCATAACAAAAGGAATAGCTAAGCAAAAAAATAAATAAATAAATAATTCCATTTCTGAAGACAGAATACACATACGAGACAAGCCAATTACAAAGGAACATGTAATGAAGGTGCTTTAGCATTTACAGCTTCCTATACCAACAGCCCTACATAGGTCTAATTTTGACCCATTTGTGAGTGGATCAGTTAACATGATATGCTTAAAACAATTCCCATTCTACCCATGGTTACTTTGGTATACATTTCACAAGGAACATGTTGGAAACGATCTCCAGTTTCATATGTAACAGTTCATTCACAGCTATTAAAATAGAAATTTCTTTAATCTGTTCATCCCAGCTTGAAATTCAAGATTCTTCGCAGTATTTATTTCTGCTGTTGTTTTGTTTGTGTTTGGATGGTGGTAGGGGTGCAATATAGTCCAATTCATTGTTCAGTCCATAGAAATAAATGGCAACCAATACCCCAACTCGCTTGAATCTGAGATAGATGAGAGGGACTCACTCACTGGTTGATTTCCATTCGATCAAGGTGTCAGCAAGGCACCTTGAGTATTAATGAGTATTATCACTCCTGCCTGGGCAAATATAGGTGGGTCTACACTTCAGCAGGCCCAGCGCGGTAAAATGTAGTACCTGTTTGGGAGGTTTGCTCCCATAATGTTTTCCATAATCAAGTGACAAGAGGATAATTTTTTTCTGCGAATTTTTCCTGACCATAGTAATGAAATGAATGCAGATTGTTTAAATAAATAAAAAAACCTGATCTCCATCTCGGAGCCGATGTTTACCAACTCATTTCCAACCTTGAAAAGGAATGACCTGTCACCTCTCGATAAAGAGAGCGCCCAATCCAGTCAGGTGTTATTACATCATAATACGTTTCAATTGTACTTCAATTTGGAGAAGCCCCTGACAGCAGATTGCAACTTTTTCTCGCTACCTAACGCTCCTGCCGAATCCATGCTCAATTTTCTCAATGCAGTAATAACCATATTTTCCCAATACTTTTCACGTTGCACAGCAGTGGCGTATTTTACGGAGGGGCAGGGGTTGGCTTCCCCCCGCGCGCCCCTTGGAGGTAATATTTTTCTTCTCTGATATCGTTTGGATGAGGTTTAGCGCCCTCGCTCTGCTGCCATGTCCCCCTGACTCTTCAGCCAAAATACGCCACTGCAGGTCAGGAATGTAAGAAATTAACATGTAATTATTGAGTAATTGAGAATGACCTAGTTATTTGTCCACAGCAATGAAAAATTCAGTTCTGAACCTGCGTTATGCATTATAGGCTCTAATAACAATATAGGTTTATCCTCAGATTCGCAACTAACGTATATTGAGTTTGACACGAATTCGTCTGTTTCGCGGCAATTGCCACTTCGCGGCAAGTGCCTGCCATCGCACACTCGAAGCAGCTTTTCCGGGTGCTTTCGTAAAAAAAATTTGCAAGCAACGTCAAAACAAATGGTAGAACTTCGATTCTACAATTCAGTTCTGTTAGTTTTAAAATATTAGGTTTGCTTCGAAATGTAAATCGTACCAATGACTAAGGAGACGAATCTTGTACGAAGCAACTTCATCCGTGGTGATCCAGCTTACGAGCAGGCTACACTATCCTGCTCCACTGGTTACAGATAACTAGTGACTAGCGACATGCAACAAGTACAGTATCTGCACTTGCGGGGGTCGTGCCTTATTACCTAGCCTTTACAGCGGGACTCACTAGAAGGGCTAAGTAAAGTGACAACGTTCTGTGGAACAAGCCACATGTCACATAGAAGTTTCCATCTTTCTATTTTGTTTTGTCTTCTAGTGGCCTGGAACTCGGAGGGCCCCTGAGGCTGCAGAGCTACTTCAGCCGGGCCCCGAGTAGTGGGTCCATCCGTGATCTAGGGTGATGGAAGCCCATGCGTTCCTCTTAGTCCATACTAGACCGACTATTTTTAGACGTAGCTTACCTCTTCCACGAGTTCCAGCTTCTTACCGCCGAGTGTCAGCGCGTTCCAATTCTGTTAACTAGGATGTTTATCCCTCGGTTCCGCTCTTGGGGTATCGTGCAGAAAATACGCGATTGCGGTGGTAAGACTAACTTCAGGTTTAGATGTAACACGACAGGGTCCGAAGCACACAGAAATTTCGGGATGGGGTGTCCACTTAATTAAGATTTAAAGTCCCATTGGATTCAGGCAATCACCTGCTCTTTAAGAATACACAGATGGATTGCTTGAAGGGCAGGGTCATTTGCAAATAAGTGGACAGCTTCCCATACGTAGAAGCGATGTTACCAATAACAGGAATAGGGTAGGCCCACTGCCATCAGGAACACCATAACATGTTGATGAGGGTGCTGGGGTATAACTATTGAAGATAGTTAAACCATGACACCCTCGGGATATTGGCGTACAAGTCCAGGTTACTAATAGCTTTCTTGATATCAAAGGGCCTTGAAACAGATCCTTGGAATACTCCAAATATTAACGCATTGAATGCCAGATATCTAAATGCAGAAATTCTTCCCAGAATGCCGGTCACCTTCAGTCACCTTTCCGAGAATCAAGAAAATGTATGCAATGTCCTGCAAAATAAAAAGTACTTGCCTGCCATCTGTTGAACAGCAGTGTGAAATTCTTTGGAACATTTTCAACGCTAAATAGCTACAACGACATGTGATTGCGACAAGCATTAGACCTAAGGCACTTTCAGCAATTGCAGCAAACAGTCAATTCTTGACTATCTAAACGCCAGTAATCTGGCGCTCCCGTTCATCCGGGACAAGAGGAATAGTCCTGGTAGAATTCCTCCAGAACATGTATTTAAATTCTCCTTTTAATTCGAACGCGTTATTTCATAGCTCCCGTTTGTACTGATGAGTTCGCGATAGACACTTTCCTAGGACTTTCTAGCAGAAGGGAAGGAACACAAACAAGTGTTCCCGGTTTCTTTTCCACTTCCTCCACTCACTCCAGGAGTTGGAAAGAAGGAGAAGAAAAAAACATAGTTTCCTTCAATATCCACCCTATCCAGGAATCTGGTATCTTTCAATCTCGACCCCCTTCCTGGGTCGGGTAATGGGAATTCTTTTCGTCATGGAGATTTCCCCTCCTACTCCTACTCCTTGCAGTAATCTCTCTCATCCCCAATCACTATCATTCATCGTTGCATTTAGAGTTTCCACCACAAGTTTCTTATCTCACTTCCGTCATGAGCATGGGTTTTTGGCGGGATAATATTTTTTTCCGTGAATCAAAACAAAAGCGGGATTTCTTTGATGTGACAGATTCAAAGAACCGAGTCAGTGACTCCAAGAGCATGGGAAAAAATGAAGGCATTTTGCAGAATGAGTGCTGTTTTCTTCAGTAAGAAAAAAAAAAGCAGGTGGTCACTTGGTGAGGTCTTCGATTATCTGGATAAGCTGTTAATACTGATCAAATCGCCGGACCCATGAAGAAGAACCCCCCACCCTCTTTTCCCTACTACGAAAAAAAAACAGCACGGAAATAGACACATGACCATGTGCATTCAAGGAAAAACATGTAACACCTTACGTGGATGACTCATGAGTGGAGTAGTATATGAATGGCAACTTCTATTAATATTTGTATATGTGTGGTAGGGAAAGCATAGATGGTGGCATACATTCATGGTGGATGATTACAAAAAAGCATTCTCTTTTTCTTCTTCTGCTTGGCAGCATGCATAGTCTTATACTCCAATGGGTTACTCTGTGCATTTAGCATGAAGTGTCTGCATACTCTTAGTTTGTTTCATTGGCCATCGCCATCAAATTCCTGGGCTGGATAGGTAAATCAAAATTTCCAAAATATTCTTAGTAAGGTCTCTTCTATTTATGCCACTACATGCACTTCTCTGCCTTTTCCTCCAGGTGTTGTTTCTCACACTAATTGTAATTAACACACTAAACTGTGTGTAATGACACAATAGCAATTCTCACATATACATTTAAAAAACTATCATTTACACTACCACCAAGATCAATGGACAGTAGCTCAATTGCATTCTCAGTCACAAGATGTAAAATCAAGATTTTTGAGCCAAGTACATGACGTAGGTAGGGCTTTGGGTAGACTTAAAGCATATGCAAAAGTTTCACTTAATTTTATAAAATAAGGATTGATTTCTAGAATTTCACTCTTTTGGAATTATCTCAGAATTTTTCTGTGACTCTTTTGCTTTAAGAAAGATAGCTTTCTTACTTTTCACAAAAATTTAAATGATCATTTCAAGATAATTTAAAAAAAAGGCTATATAAAGAATGAAACTTTTTTTTTCCTTGATACCGAAGTCCTGATATTTATAGTTCATGGCATTAGATGTGACTCACCACAAGTGTTGCAGAAGAACATAGGAGAACACTCAGCTTTATCACAGTTCGCACATGGTGGTCTCTCCTCATTGGATGACTCAACCAAAAAGTATACAAGTTGGTCAGGTGGGGGAAGGATGGTACCATCTCGCACACTTGTCACTTTACTGCTTCATATGGATAAAAAAGACACCAGAGACATTTGATAAATATTTGCTTGCTTGATACTTTTGGAAGACAGTGGTTGAAAATTTTTTTTTTTAATGCCTTCTATTTGGGATAGGATACATCATAACAAGATCTCCAATGAGCTTTGTATAGAAAATTGCAATAGCTCTCTCTATAGTGGTTATACCTACCTGGTGCAGGTTGGGGGTCTTATACGAACATATTAGGGCTCCTAATGAATAAATTCCCTTTAGCTGTTCCTGTGGAACAACTAAAGGGAAAATGATACCTTTAACCCTTATATCACTAAAATGGATACAGAATGCACTTATACTTTGAATTTCTTGATCTAACATGCCACACATTTTAAATTAAAATTTCTTCTTTAGCTTACCTGAGGGTACAAGAATTTTGTCTGTAATATGAGCCTGAATTGATTAATTTTAATTTTACAATCAATACCTGCTGGCTTATCTGGTTTTACATTTTGGTAAAGGCAGAGCTAAAGTCCTTTGGACCAAGCAGATTGCCATGGGGTTCTTCAGTCCTGTAAAACCTGGGGGAGTTGGTCAAGGTTTAGGCCAGGCAAAATGATCTTTGCTTTTGGCCATAATTTGTAAAAAATTATCAAAACCAGGTAACAAAATGTAAAAAAAAAAAATATCCTCAAATTATTAAAGAATAATATCAAACCAATGAAATACATTTTTGTCTTTAGGTGCAATTATGAAAGTGCACTCTGAATCAGGCAAATTTGAAGCTTTATCTGAATGCAAACTTTTGTGGGTATAGTTCATCATGTCAACTATTTAAAGACAGATTACAAAATTGGCAATAATTTTAGTTCCCTTTAAATAAACAACTTTGCTTTACAAAAATTAAAGATGAAAGAAAAACACATTTAATAAATTTAAAAAGCTGGGAAAAAAAAGGAAACATGTAATCATTATTATTATTATTATTATAAGGAAAAATGAAAGTTGGAAAGGGGAAAGAATTATGAATGAAAACCATCAAGCCATTACTCAAGATGAGAGCAAAAGGCAAAAGCAGATAAGCAAGCATTGGCAAAGTGAAGCAAGCAATGTCAAAGGCCACCTAGCAAATCCAGGAGGTTTACCCAATGTGATAGGGTCAAGAACATGAAAAATCATTCATTTTTTATTTAATGGATGTTCTGAAACAACAGCATGTTTGTTTAATAAGAATAATATCTAAGTTTTACAATATGGCTACTGGGGTATTCTTGGGGTCCACTAAACTGGACTTGTATTCTATTCTAAATTTCTGATGATTATAGTTTCAAATTCTTTTCAATGCTACGAAGCCTTTAAAATGGAACATCTTTTTCTTAAAAAATCCTACTTGGCATCAAAAAGTTATATTTTGAGGCTGTGTTTCACTTAATGTTCACCTATCACTCACTTAATCAACTGGATTAGCAACCAGAAGCTGTTTTGATCAATTTAAAGAAGTCTAAATATGGTAATTTAACAAGATGGTCATGATCAGTGCCAAACCAATGCATGTTATATATGAATATCACTTATTAATATGCTAATTTTCACATGGGTGAGATAAGATTTTTTTGGTTCATGAAAATGCAGGCCTACAAAATGCAGTGCAGAGGAGTGTGTTTAATAAATCATCAATTATTCCTCATCATCATCAATTATTCATTATTCACGTCAGTCTTTCCTGTTCTGTCTCTATTAAAGAGCATTATGTTAAAAATATCAGAAAAATTTTGAAGGGCATGTTACAATTAGCTTTCCAAACACAAAAAAGGTTAAAATAATTAGTTCTCTGCTTCAACAGAAATGCTACCTCCTTGACATCGAAAGAGGTTCGCAATATCATGTAAAAACTCACCCACAAAGGGGACAACAAACTTTTCCATCAGGGATTCTGTCCCTGAGACATCTTGCACAGAAGGTATGGTAGCAAGCAAGAAGACATGGCTCCTCATATAACTGATGGCACAAGGAACAAATGAGGGGATTCCGAGAAAAGGAATCCAGGTTTTCAGAATTCTCATCCTGGCCGTGATCTCCTGTTCTCTGCCCATTCTCGGCCATCTCATGCTTGAATCACAACGAAGAGTGCTAACACTCTTTAGGGCACACTCTTGCAGTTCAGAACAATCAGGCCTGACGTTGCGACTACGTAATTTGGCACGAATTTGACTGGATCGCATGTCTTCCATGAGCCATGGAAGGCCAGCTTCAGGCCTTCGTGCTGGATGCCTGGCAGAAGGCAATGGTCACATGAACGCAGACATATTGAATTTCCGATCGAACTCCTTCCGAGGCACGGATGCCATACATTTCAGCACAAAAGTTACACGCTTAGGAAATGTCGCTATTGTTATAAAATGGAATTTAAGAAGTCATTTTACAATATAGAATTATACTTTCCAGATTAAGCCACTGAGTGATTACCCTTTTTTATTTACAAAATCCCTTTACTCAGAGATAATGATAAGATCCGATAAAGATAAGTCTCTCCGAAAAATTTTCACCATTATAATCGTACAGAGTGAATTTCTCCTCAGGAAATGACGGATCCCCTGGACATTTTTCATTGACATGCAGACAGATTCATGACGTGACAGTCATCAACTGCAGAGAAGACGCATGTAGCGTGATTCAGCAGTCGAGAGAAATTATTATATTGGAATACATGCAATGAGCATAATCATGCCCTGATTTAAGTCTCCGTTTAATTGAGGTCACGTAATTGAAGAAACAGAATTGCCTCCTGATTCCTTCAAAATTACGCTCCTCTGTTATCCTTGTTTCCCGTGACATGAGAGGGAAAGACCGAAGGTTCCACACCTCAAAATCTAGTATTTTTCTTGAATCTTTTGAAAAGAGCCTCTACCTAACCTATAAAAAGCCCAGCCTGCCCCTCCTCATCCTGTTCTGGATTGTAACAGTTGCATCACTCAGGAAGAAGATAGGACCATTATATTTTCATGCGCATTATTTTGGATTGATTTCTTCCGCTACAAGAAGGCTATTGCTGGCAGTGATATCTTGCAGATTTGTTGGTTTCGTGGTTCGTCCAATGAATTGGATCCTTGGGAAGTAATTCTCTACTACCCGAGTGAGGGGGGAAGGGGAGATTTCAATCCGAAAACACTCTCTCATTGAGGGTTAGAAGCACTGACAAGAAGAATAATCCTGGATTTTCCTAAGCCCTGTCCTCAGCACACGATCGACCTTGCTCATAGCTGGTTCAATGTTGCTTTGCGTTGAATCTTAAGAATAATAACCACTCTCTCGTAATGTGCGAATGACACACGACGCATGGATGACAACGTGTAATTTTTTCACCCGGAAAAGCGAGTCTCTGACAGAGATTAGTTTATGCAATTTACATCCTTCGTCGATCCTATTTTCCGCCGAGCAAAATAAGCCCTCTCGAATCTCTGAAGTAGGAAAGAACCTAAAATCGCGTCCTTTCCGTTCTGACATCCCTTCCCCGATGATGCGAGGTTCGGAAATTGACGCCACTTTCATTCAGACCTGCTTCCTCGAGCTGTCCATAAGCGTTCGTTTCATTTCAAATTTTCTCTCGAATGCCTTTCCTCTTCCATTTGTTCACGGCCGGATGCAGTAACTTTCGTAGCGAGTCCCCCATTGGCTCGATGGACTCGTGAGCTCGTGTAAACCTCGACATCGTTTGAGCGCTTCGGTCCCGAGATTCGAGGCAGAGATGCAGACGGATCGGCTCCCTGTCTCCCATTCCGTCCTTAAATGGGGGAAGGGGGGGGGGATGGGGACGACTCTATTCTCTCACGAGAGAAAAGTATACCAATTCAACTTGATTCTGGCCCCTCGAATGGGAGGGAAACTCCCCCTTTCCCGCTGGGATGTGCCGAGGGTGAGCATTAGCCCCTCGAGGAATTCATCTTCGCATTAGGGCGGGTTAGGGGGAAAGGAAAAGGAAGAAACCAGACAGTAAAGGCGAACAGACTTTCCCTTTTCTCCTCGAGGAATTCATACCTAGGGGAAGGGAGAGGGAAAAAAATTATGAAATGAGAGAGCATATGGGACAAATCTGCAGTTCCCCTGAAAAAATTATTGGCTTAAAGAAAATACCAGGCATCAAAACCATCTAAAACTCATCCACAACGAATCTGCATGGTAATGAGGTTAACTCAAATGAACAGGACCCCATAGTGGCCCATTGGGAAAAAAAAAAGTTTCTATTTAACATAAAACACAGTGGTTCTTAACCTTTATCGGCTGCGACCCAAATTCCAGTCGCGGGGCTAGCTCGGCGACCCACTCAAAATGGCTTGGCGACCAAATTTCGGGTCGCAACACAGGGTTAAGAACCACTGGCATGACACATGACACCCGAGTGAAAATGTGAATCCTTTTTCCTGCTTCTCTGTCTCTTCCTTGTTTCAGCCTACACACCTGCCTGCATCTTAAATATTCTGGACAGAAAACGATTTTTCTGAAAATTACCCCCAGAATCCCTGCTCGTACAGGTAAGAATGCTGAAATACTCCACGGCCTGAATGATTGATGTGAACTGTCCCGATAGAAACTCTAGTTCATTTATCGTGCGGCGTCCCGTCCTCGTACGAGCTCGACCGTATCGGTCGAGCTTGCTGTCAGATTTCTTCTGTTTCGGGACAGGACAGTGTTTATCAACCGGGGGTCCGTGACGAAGTTCCAGGGGGTCTGCAAAACATTGTCCAAGCCGAGCGAAACGTGACGGGAAAAAAAAGTAAAACGTTGTGTACCTTTCAGTCAACTTTCAAAATAATGTCTTCAAAGTTACTTGTACCGATATCAGGAGCTTACAGATGCGCGCGATAGTGAAGCAGGTCCGCGCAGTCCACCTCTATTCCGAAAGGGATCGGCAGATTTAAAATCTGATGGAGACGGGTTTAAAAACGTCGAGAGCCACTGCGATAGGGGGACCTGGGAGCCAACCGTGCTGGTTGCATGAGCTCTGCGCATCCTTCAATATCTTTCAATAAATATTTGCAATGGTTTGCAAATTACTGGCATGCCTAGTGAGGGCATGGTGATGAAGGGCCCATCGCAAGGAGAAATAATAATAATCCGGTAGATTGCCTTCGCTCACGAGGTTCTCGGAAAACGGGAAGAGAAGACACCGGAGGCTGGAAATGGATTTCCTCCCTTCTCGTCTGCACGCGAATGCCTCGAGGGGGCATGCGGGTTCCCTCGTCGAAGACCCTTCCCCCAATTAGCCCGAATGAGCTGAATCGAGTTGAATTAATATATATTTCCTATTTTCTTCTCCGAGGGAATTGGATTTGCGATGCGGCCGCTGAATTCGGATATTTCCTCCGGGGTCTTTCATATCCACTTTGCTGGCCACACACTGAATTCCTCTCGAAATTGTGTTACAATAGTTTTTTTTTTTTTCCTGTAATAAGAAGTATTTTCAAGAGCCTGTTCGCTTTGCAGATTGGGAGACCGGTGACCTTTACCCGTTCACAGCTGTGTCTTCCGCTGAATTTTTGCCTGATTTCATGATGGGGTTTCCCCGATTTCCGCTCATTCATCTGATTTCTTTTCCGCTTGGATCGTCTATAATAAACATAGGGCTGCTGATCAAGTTCGAGCAGAAAACCCCGTCCGTTACAAAACGGCCTGGAAACTTCAGATTTCAGATTGTTGTATTCGAGGCGAATACATTTACGAATGCGAATTTATTTACTGCGAATTTATTTACATAATAAAACGCGCGCGATGGGATTTCCTGGAAGAGTAAAATGTTCTCAGTGAATCAGCTGCATATTCCCAACGAAGCGACGCTCCCCCTCCCCCCCTTCCCCCCTCCCCCCCCCTTCCCCCCCTGTCATATCGAGTCTCTTCGAGTCTATTCTGTCTATACCTGTCTGTTCAGACAGGTTTTAGTGCAACTACAGGGTTATATCTGATGGGATAGTGCTATTACTATCATGGCTATTACCTGTGGGCGAATGGCTCATCGACGAGCTTCACTAAGTACCGTTGACAAGTTAGTGAGGAATGACCATCATATTATGCGCCGACGAACGCGAAATAAAAGTCAATTGCAAAATCGTAGCGAAAATATCATTAGTTGCTGGATTTCGTCTTTAAAAACGCAGGGGCAGGAAAAGGAAAGTTATTTGCATCCGGCGCTTCGATTTCCTTTGAGGAAACGCAAAAAAAGGAAACGTTTGAGAGAGATGAAAAGTGACATTTCAACTGCACGGAAGGTACTTCTATGATTACTTCCTGATTTTTTAATGAGTTGAATATGATGCAGGGTTAGATACACCAAAAGAGACGATATCGTGCAAAATAATGACAATCCAGGAACTCATTCCTTATTCAAACTGGCAATTCCCATGGCATTCCCTCCGTTCATACAAATTTCAGATTAGATGCCGCCCGAAGACATTTGAATGGGAAAATTTCGGGATCGACCGAGATTTCTCATGAGATAGTTCCGGGTTCCCCCTTCACCCCCTCCTTAACCCCCCCCTCTCCTTCACCCCCTCCCTCCCCCTCCGTTTTTGATGAACGAGATTGCAAGGATCTGGAGGAGCCGAGAGAGAAAAGTTCGTGACGTCTGGTTTCCTTCGGCTCCCGTGCAGCCTCTCAACCGTCAATCAATATAATCCATACTCGTTGGAGTTTCCCAACGGGGAGGATCAGCGCGGGGGGTGGGGGCTGGGAGGTGGGGTGGGGGGTGGGTGGGGAAGGGTGCGGTGGTGATGCAAATAAAATGCGCGAAGATCCAAAACTGCAGGATCACCATTCAAAATTGCAAAAAGTTGCTCAAAAAACCGTAGAGAATGTGATTGGAAGAGATTTTCACGCAGGTAATGCTGAATTCAGAACTCGCAACGGAGAACGTCGGTCAGAATTCCTCGTAAAATGAATTTCATAGATATTTCTTAGCATCGCAATGCTTTGAACGCTTCGCGCAGTCCAATTTCTTAACTAGACGGCGTCTCTCATCCGTCTTTGAGAGTTCGTTATTTTATCCGAACGGCACGAGAGATCCTCGGTAGAGCTTCTTTCGCGTATCTCTCGAATTCGCGGAATTTTTTCTATTTTCA